ACCATGTAAAGAAAAACAATGAAGCCCCCTCACCTGCTTGTCTTTCTGCAGGGAGGAGACGAGCAGGCAGATCCCTGGTGATCTGGTGGGATTAGTAAGGTCTGCAGACCTTACTAATCACTTTGTTTTTGACCCGGAGCTCAGTGAAGAGCTGCGTCTGAAAGAACGGAGAGCCCAGTAGGAGCAGCTGCTCCCACCAGTCAGGTACGTGATCTGTGACCGCACGCCTGACTGGATTTCCACTCGCCAATGCGAGCAGGCGAGTGGAAATTTTGAGCCCTGTATATATATAACACTGATCAGCCATAACATTATAACCACCCACATAATATTCAGTAGGTCCCCTGTTTCTGACCTGTCGAGGCATCGACTCCACTAGACCTCTGAAGGTATGCTGTGGTATCTGGCACCAAGTCATCAGTAGCAGATCCTTTAGGTCCTGTAAGTTGTGCGGTGAGGCCTCCATGGATTTAACTTCTTTTTCTAGAACATCCTACAGATGCTCAATTGGGTTGAGATCTGGAGAATTTGGAGGCCAAGTAAACACCTCAAACCCATTGTTGTACCATTGTTGCAGTGTGGCAGGGCGAATTATCCTGCTGAAAGAGGCCACAGCCATCAGGGAACACCGTCTCCATGAAGGGATCGGGGAATACCGTCTCCATGAAGGGGTGTACTTGGTCAGGAACAATGTTTAGGTCGGTGGTACGTGTCAAAGTGACATCCACATGAATGGCAGGACCCAAGGTTTCCCAGCAGAACATTGCCCAAAGCATCACACTGCCTCCGCCGGCTTGTCTTCTTCCCATAGTGCATCCTGATGCCATCTCTTTCCCAGGTAAGCAACACACACGCACCCGGCCATCCACCTGGCCTGTGTGAAGTACACTAAGTGGCCAGAAAAACTAAAAACCCTGCCCTGTGGAATTTCTGGGACCAGCCTACAAATGTAGGGCCTATGAGGATGGGCTTTGGGTTTGTGTTGATGAAATCAGTGTGAGACGCTTCTGAGATCATTCAGAATTAATTGACAGGTGCATATTACTTGCAGTTGACCTGCTTCAAAGGGGATTTTGCATCCCCATAGATATGTATGTCCGTCAACAAGGCACAACAAGAAGTTTATAGACTGTTTAGTGATAATACTAAATAGGGATTGTATTGTATCTGATGACAGGGGGGAAGAGCTGTGACGCTACCACAGGCTCATTCGGCAGTCTGCAGTGTATTTTTTTAAGAAGACTCTTGCATGCATGGTGATATACAGAATGTATAAAGAATAAAATATTCATTGATCAGACAGAAATTCAGCTTCTAGAGTTCCTCCAATCACAAAGCTGGACATGATGGCTACTTACGCTCAAAGTTCCTGACGATGTGCTGCAGACAAAGGTCGCTGAGCAGCGGGACGATGGCCAGGGACCAGCTGTAGTCCTCTGTGATGATCCGACGCATCTTCCGAAGGTCAGCCGCTGCATTTCTACGCTGGACAGGTAACGGTTCGGGGACCTCAGTCTTCCCATTGGTTGGAAACTCCGGCATTTTCGGGACTGGCTGGCCAAACTCAGCTGAACATTCCTGGAAGATGGAAGAGGAGAGTCAGATGTAATTCTACTCGATATGCCAGGAGGCTACAGCTGTGAGTGTTCACATTATGGGAATGTGTTCATCTAAGAAATAAATTCCTCCTGACAGGAAGTGAGGTGAGATCTCCCCAGTGGTTATACAGACAGCAATGAAAACTTGACAGAGACTATAAACCTTCTCCACCCACCAGCAGAAAACATCAAAGAGAAAAAAATGATGGCAATCGCATCTTAAAGAGGAACTGAAGCCAAAACGTTTTATTTCTTTTTTCTAGTTTTGGATGGTCGCGCTCTATTGAAGTGCAGTGACGTGTTCTCGAGGAACAAACGGCACTTCCCGCTATTCACAGTGGTGACACCTTTTATGGAGGAACTCTAGTGCCAATGTGGCAGGTGGAGGCGTAGGGGAAGGGAGGTTACTCCTGCAGTGGCGGGGTGTCTCATGCGTTGAGGCATGATGGGTAGGTAGTAAATTGTGGGCACACGTGTGACACCTCTGATGTAGGTACAGCTCCGATGTCCTCCTGTCATAAAAAAGTAAGGTCCTGCGAACGTAGGATTACATTGTGCAAACTGGATGAAAAATAGTCACTATTATAATCCATGAAGCTGTTCACATCAGTGTGGTGTGTTAGAGGGCAGTGTGGTGTGTTAGAGGGCAGTGTGTTGGCGTTGGAGGGCAGTGTCGTGTGTTAGAGGGCAGTGTGGTGTGTTAGAGGGCAGTGTGGTGTGTTAGAGGGCAGTGTGGTGTGTTAGAGGGCAGTGTGGTGTGTGTTAGAGGGCAGTGGGGTGTGTTAGATGGCAGTGTGGTGTGTCAGAGGGCAGTGTGGTGTGTGTTAGAGAGCAGTGTGGCGGGTCAGAGGGCAGTGTGTTGGGTTAGAGGGCAGTGTGTTGGGTTAGAGGGCAGTGTGTTGGGTTAGAGGGCAGTGTGTTGGGTTAGAGGGCAGTGTGTTGGGTTAGAGGGCAGTGTGTTGGGTTAGAGGGCAGTGTGTTGGGTTAGAGGGCAGTGTGGCGGGGCAGAGGGCAGTGTGGTGTGTGTTAGAGAGCAGTGTGGTGTGTCAGAGGGCAGTGTGGTGTGTGTTAGAGAGCAGTGTGGTGTGTCAGAGGGCAGTGTGGTGGGTCAGAGTTAGAGGGCAGTGTACGTGTACGAAACCATCCAGATGGTCGCGTAGTCACGGAATCGCCCACCACTGCCAATCACGCTGTCGGTGCCATTATTTTCTAAAGGCACCCCAGTCGCGCGGTTTCCCGCTGCGATACCGTCCCTGCAATTGAACACGATTGATCGCCATCTGCGCGGTTGTGTGCACAATTGCCGCGCGGTCACGGACCGCCCCGGTGTGAACCTGGCCAGGTTATCATCCATCAGCCACAGGGGCATCTTCACTGGGATCCACTTCACTCCCTCCCTCCCACGGTGTATCCAGATGCAAAGAATCTGAACTTCTGCTGTTTTTTTCTTGATATGCAACAAACTTTATTGCATGTAGTGCAAACTTACAAACCCAGACTACAGCCAGGAGTAGTGATGTGCGGGGGCAGTTTGTGGCAAGGCGTTTGTTGCCCCACAGCTACACCTAACAAAGGGGCAGAGAATGACCCTTTAAACAAAATTCTAACAGTGTATGGTCAGCCTAAGATTACAGTACTTGCAATAAAACTTGTTGCATATAAAGAAAAAAAAAACAAAAAGAAAACATCCAACATGTTCCTTTTAGTTTTGGATAGAGAGGAGAGGGATTAGACCTTCGGTCAGGATTTTTATTGCCGTCTATGTCCCCGTTAGGGAGATTCACCCTCTCTGGTGAATGTTATCACTGAAAGTGAAAGAAAATCCCAAATTTTGGGTTGTCACCAGAACAGGAGTAGATAGGAAATCTTCCAATGGGAACACTAGTTCTGGTGACCACTAGGGGATTCCCTCACATTGGAGGATTTCCTCTCACTTCCTGTCGTGGCTATCGGACAGGAAGTGAAGGAAAATCTCCCCGATGCAACACAGTTGCCAAAAATAAAAGCTGACGGGTCATAATCCACCCTTACTCTATGAAAAACTAAACCAGTGACTACAGAAATTACACAGTTGTCACCAGAACAGGAACAGAAGGGAAATCTTCCAAAGGGGACGCCTGTTCCCAGTGACAAATGTACATATGCTGCAAAAGATAGACTGGACACATAACAGGTCTACACAAGCGGCCAGAATAATGGAAACCATGCCCTGTGGGGTTTGCAGACCCACTGGACAGATTCAGGGACCTTGTGAACATGCTTTGGCTTTGTGTTGATGACATCTTTTGACAGCCTTCTGAGATCATCCGGCATTTTACCTCCTTCTGACCTGTATTGGAATGAACCGGGTGTGTCACCAGCACATCATAGGGACCTGAGTGTGTCACGATGTGCAGCAGCTGTTATTTGGGTTTCCATTTTTCTGGCCGCCTACCCATTTCCCAGCGCGGAGAAGTCATGGGCCACGCTGGATACAGGAACGTTTCCCTGAGAAGCCTGAACACGGAGATACCTCTAGAGCCGGTCACGGGCCGCCGGTGTTGAGCAGCCAGACTCTGCGGCCTCCTCACCTCTGTTAGATGTGTACCGTCACCATGACAACCGCACCACAGACGGTCACCAGGGAGAGAGGGGAGGAGTTCACAGAGCTACAAACACGCCTATTTCCGCCCCTCCTGACTGAATTACCTGGAGGGGGCGGGGCCTATCATTGACCCCAGTGTGCCGTCACCTCTATACTGTCCCCTATAGAATGTATAATACACCGATATCACCTATAGTGTCCTCTATAGAGTGTATAATACACATATATCACCTATACCATTCCTCTATACTGTCCCCTATAGAATGTATAATACACCGATATCACCTATAGTGTCCTCTATAGAGTGTATAATACACATATATCACCTATACCATCCTCTATAGAGTGTATAATACACATATATCACCTATACCATTCTCTATAGAGTGTATAATACACAGATATCACCTATATTGTCCTCTATAGAGTGTATAATACACAGATATCACCTATACCGTCCCCTATAGAGTGTATAATACACAGATATCACATATACTGTCCTCTATAGAGTGTATAATATACAGATATCACCTATACTGTCCTCTATAGCGTGCATAATACACCAATATCACCTATACTGTCCTCTATAGAGTGTATAATGCACAGATATCACCTATACTGTCCTCTATAGAGTGTATAATACACAGATATCACATATACTGTCCTCTATAGCGTGCATAATACACCAATATCATCCATAGTGTCCTCTATAGAGTGTATAATACACAGATATCAACTATACCGTCCTCTATAGAATGTATAATGCACTGGTATCACCTATACCGTCCTCTATAGAGTGTATGATACACATATATCACCTATATTGTCCCCATAGAGTGTGTAAGACACAAATATCTTTATTGTCTTCTACAGAATGTATGATGTAGATATCCCTTATAATATACAGCATATGATATCTATTATACAATGACCCCTATATTACCTCTGTACAGTGTACACACGTATACTCTATATTACACACCTCCCGGTTTTCTGTGATGGAGGGGAACAGCTTCGTGCCAAGACATTGAGGTCATAGACTCCCCGGGGTTAGGCTCCAGTCATGGAGATCATGAAGAATTCATGAGGAAACACTTCAGTGTCTGCACACCTGTCATGGTCAGCAACATCACCATGTGTACAACACAAATCACACACAAGCTAGGGCCCAACTACTATATACTGTTCCTATATACTGGGGGCACCATATATGTTTGTGGTTATCTACATCAAACTCCAGAGATGGAGGAAGAGGGATATCACCTATACTGCCATACCCTATATTATCTATATACCGTGTTCTACCATACCCTATATTATCTATATACTATGTCCTACCATACACTATATTATCTATATACTGTGCCCTACCATACCCTATATTATCTATATACAGTGTCCTACCATACTATATATTATCTATGTACAGTGTCCTACCATACCCTATATTATCTATACTGTGTCCTACCATACCCTATATTATCTATATACTGTGCCTTCCTACCATACCCTATATTATCTATATACTGTGCCCAACCATACCCTATATTATCTATATACTGTGCCCAACCATACCCTATATTATCTATATACAGTGTCCTACCATACCCTATATAATCTATATACTGTGTCCTATCATATCCTATATTATCTATATACCGTGTCCTACCACACCCTATATTATCTATATACAGTGTCCTACCATACCCTATATTATCTATATACCGTGTCCTACCATACCCTATATTATCTATATATAGTGTCCTACCATACCCTATGTTATCTATATACTGTGTCCTACCGTACCCTATATTATCTATATACAGTGTCCTACCATACCTTATATAATCTATATACTGTGTCCTATCATATCCTATATTATCTATATACAGTGTCCTGTTATACCCTATATTATCTATATACTGTGTCCTGTTATACCCTATATTATCTATATACTGTGTCCTGATATACCCTATATATTACTATCAGGAGTATGATCTCTGTATCCTCTCAGTGAGGTGTTGTCTATAAATGATCTCACGTTACAGTTCATCCTCCCCGTAGAAGATCCCCTTTTTTTTCTGTGCTGCAGTCAGGGAAGATCTGAGGATGAGCACTGAGCAGGGAGAAGACACAGAGAAGAACGATTAATAATTGATGAGATCCTCTCCAGAAATAGCACACATGAGAGAGCAGAAGATGACGGCGTGCTCAGACACAAAGTGGGGGGTGAAGCTGGTTCGGGAGGGTGCACGATGAAGGGAGCGGGAGACATGGACGGTTACCATGCCTCAGAACTACCCTCCATGTTATCGGTGGAAGCAGGGAGAGTGCTTGTCCCATTTTTCTGAAGGGGCTGTTGAACTACAAGTTGCAGCATGCCCTGACAGAC